CTCTTCAGCTGTAGACTAGCGCTCTACCACTTGAGCCACAGTGCCACTTCTGGTTTTCTAGTAATTTTTATTGGAGATAAGAGTCTCACGGACTTCCTGCCCAGGCTGGCTTTGAACCGCAATCCTCAGATCTCATTCTTCTGAGTAGCTAGGATTACAGGCGTGAGCCACTGGTGCCCGGCTTTTCTTCTCTGACTTTTAAATTTAATTGATGTATTTGATTGCATAGGTAACATATTCAACATCTACTGAGGTGTATACAGTGAACAGACCACTACCCATGCTTGTTCACCAGTTCCCTTCAGTTGAGAGACAGTTTCCACAATCTTGAACCTTCTCTTAGAAATATTTTAGGATATGTAAACATATTCATGATGTGATAGAATTATATATAGGGTTTAGGTTGTTTAACCCTTGGATACAGGTTTCTTTTGTCGTTCTACCAGCTTATACAGCTTTTGGGGCATTAGAAATATGGTCATATAACCGTATTATTATTTTGACCGCCATTCTTTGTTAAGACAAATCATTGAATTCTTTTGTAAGTGTGGGTTTTTTTTTCCCCTCTAGGAATTAACCGTAAACAATGAGAAGTCACGAATTAATAGCCCTCAGCCTGCTGAAAACCCTCAACCAATTACCGAGAAGTCTGATCAGCCCACTCCTGCTTATGAGTACTATGATGCTGGCAGTCATTGGTGCAAAGACTGTAATACTATTTGTGGGACCATGTTTGACTTTTTCACCCATATGCACAATAAGAAGCATACACAGGTAAGTAGTTTGTCCTATGTTGTTTCACTTCCCTTCCAACTTTTATATTCCTATCTACATTACAAAGCTGGAAATGAAACATTCTCACATGGGCAGGAGCCCCAATCTGAAGAGCCAAGAGATACCAGCAAAGGAGATGCCATCCCCAGGGTTCAATCCAGGGGATCTACCTATAACTAAACACCATGATGAGTGTAAGTGAGGCTTCTGCCTCTTTTGATTCCTTGTGTACCTGATTTTTTTGTTTCATTTATCTGTTTCTAGTACTTATTCTAACATGTGTTTACCTTTTCCACAGGTGATTTCCGTTTAAACAGTTGGCAGAATGGGTGGGTTGGGTGGGTAACTGGGGACTTCTGGCTCCCTAGTCTTATGTGTGAGGGAAAAAAAAGAGAGACAAGGGGGTCATTGAGTTTTTAGTGCTGTTGTGTGAGCACCTCTGCCTCTTGCAAATAGACACTGGATCCCTACAACAGACCTTGGGCTTCCAAGACCCAGAGTGAGACCAAGCAAGATGCTATAAAGCGCACTGATAGGATAACTGTTCCTGCAAAAGGTATGTTTCCTCTATCTCTTTTGTGGTTTCCTTATATTTATCTGAGTAAATTGTGTCTCTAACTAATGTGTTAGGAAGCAATATAGCATGAGACATAGCTGCTCTTTTAACAAAGTCTAAGAATGTCCCATCTATCTATCTATATATATGAACTCTAATATATATATATATATAATTGTCTTATAGGTATATACACACATATATATGTATGTATACATACTTTAAGTGATATACATGTATCATATATATACTTTAATTGACATGATATGTCAATTAAAATGATATGTAAAGTAAGATATATATATATATATACTTTAAGTGATATATATGATATCCATGTGATATCTATCATATATGTGCCTTAAAATATAGGCAAACAACTGTCTTTGTCATTAGTTTATACATTTATTTGAAATCCAGACATAAAAGGCAGTAAGACAGTAATTTAATTCTTCAACTAAGAACTATAAAGTACTTGAGGTAGTGTTATTAAGGAGTAAATTGATAAGAAAAAAAATTTGTATTTAAATTTTTCAATTTCTTACCTTTGCAAATAGTCAATTCTGCTAATATATCCTTCAATGTAGATTACTGATATAATGATCCTCATACAAATGGCAATAGAATAACTACCTTGGAGAATTGTTTTTTGTTTTTTGTCAGTTGTGGGGCTTGAACTCTGGGCTTGGGCGCACTTTAGCTCAAGGCTAGCGCTCTACTGCTTGAGCCACAGCACCACTTCCAGCTTTCTATTGATTTATTGGAGATAAGAGTCTCATGGACTTTCCTGCCCGGGCTGGCTTTGAACCGTGATCCTCAGATCTCAGCCTCCTGTGCAGCTAGAATTACGGGCATGAGCCACCAGTGCCCGACTGGAGAATAGTTTTTAAATCTCCTAAGATGATATCCTAAGTGATATTTAGAGTTTAGGAGAGTCAGCAATAGGAGTGGATCTGGCAAAGGAACCTGCAGAATTTACCAGATAAGTGTTCCCAAGAAATAGAGGAATAGAGGTCTAGAATTCAAGCCTTAGGTTAGGAAGACTGCAGGATTCATCTAAATGATTTTTCTGACTCCAAATTGGATAAGGTTCTCTTACTACAAAAGAGTGGTGAGATTTCCTTGTTTGCTGTCATTCTTGGTGAAAAAAACTTGTTTCCTTAGCCTTCTGTTTCTTTCAGGCTCTGAGTTTTTAATTCCCATCACTGGATTTTACTGCCAGCTCTGTGAGGAATTTTTTGGGGATCCAATTTCTGGAGAGCAACATGTAAAGGGTCACCAACATAATGAGAAATACAAGGTTAGTCTTTGTATACCATGTGGCGTTTTCTACTCTCTATAGTAATTTTTTTGACTTTGTCACTTCAAAGCTAGAAAAAAACCATTGACACTTCAAATTATATAACTATTATGGAAATTCTCAATCCTGAGCTAACAATCCTGTCCTAACTAGCTTGAGAGATACTGAGCTAGTTAGAACCATCTTTAATCCTTAAAAAGAAATCTAGAGATTTCTAAGTAAATTCTAGCAGTTGCAGGGGCCAAGGTTTTCTTTCTTAGAGTAATTTGACTAGTTGTTGAGCCTTTATCTTTTCTTTTCTTTTTTTCTCAGAAATATGTGGAGGAAAACCCATTGTATGAGGAGCGGCGGAATCTGGACCGCCAAGCTGGCTTGGCTGTCGTCCTAGAGACAGAACGGCGACGGCAGAATGAACTAAAGCGCAAACTTAGTGAGAAACCAAAGGAAGAGAAGAAAGAAAAAAAGGCAAAGGTTGTGAAAGAAGTGAAGGAAGATGAACAGGTCTCTGCAGAATTAGAGGACCAGCTCTCTGAAGGTGGGAATTCCCCTGAAAAAGCTGAAAATAAAAGGAACATTAGCATCAAACTCCATGTGAAAGAAGAGGTGAAAAAGGAACCACCAATATCATCATCTTTTGGGAAATTTAGCTGGAAGAAGACAGAAAAAGAAGAGGAGAAAAGTTCAGTGGTGGCCCCAAGCATCCTTAAGGAAGAGGCTATAGAAAATAGTAAGGACAAGGAAGATGTCAAAGCTGAACCTGGGAAGGCAAAGCCCATCAAAATCAAGCTTTCTGGGAAAACTGTTGTTGCACATACTAGCCCTTGGATGCCTGTTACAACTTCAACACAGACTAAAATTCGACCCAACCTGCCTATCCCATCTACAGTACTCCGCAAATCAGGTTCAGCCACAGTGAGCAAGCCCGCTCCTCTTAATACCTTTCTGTCTATCAAGTCCCCTGGAACTACTGCTAAACCTCTGCCAGTGGTTAAAGAGTCTTCAGCTGATCTCCTCTTGCCTCCAGATATCATCTCCAAAGCTTTTGGAGGGGAAGAGGTGATTCTAAAAGGATCTCCAGAGGAAAAAACGGTGCTAGCTGAAAAAAATGAGCTATCCCATATACCTGAGCAGATGTTGCCACCTCCCCCACCCCCCCCACCCCCACCACCTCCACCACCCCCAATTATACCTCATCCAGTTGCTCCAACTCCTACTCACGTAAATACTGCCTTGGCTCCTATAAAATCCAACTCAGTTGTATCTCAGACTCTTAGTGCTGGTTTTCTGGGTTCAAATAGCTTGAATCCAGAAATGTCTGTAACTATCATGCGTTCAGCACAGCCACCTGCCATTCCTTCTGATGAAACGGCTCCTGGGGTGAGTGAGAGTGACCAAGACCAGACTCTGTTCTCTGTATTAGTACGTCCTCCACCACCCCTCTCAAGTGTATTCACTAAACAAGCCAAAAAATTGGAGAAGCGAAATCCATGCTTAGCCACAGCCAATGCTAAGGACCTATATGACATATTCTACAGTAGTGGTGGAAAAGGAGCCCCTGAGACTAAGCTGAGCTGTGGCCCATTGGCCAATGGGGAAAATAATAATCTCACCAAGACTGAAAGTTCAGATACCTCTTCTACCTTGAACAGCAGTGCTTCCCAAGAGGACTTACCTCAAGATAGGGATTTGGTTACTGCACCTGTAGTCAGTAACCCTGAAAATCCCATTGCAGAAACACTGGTGTCCATAGGGAAATGGCCAGTTGTAGAGCATGTAGACTCAAAAGGCAGAGACAGCAGTCATGGCTTCTTACAGCCTTTGGCAAGGTTGTGCCAAAACAGGCCTTATGAAACTGTTACCCCAAAGACAGATACTTTGGCCTCATGGACTTCCAGCTCCCTCCAGAGTGACATTGATAGAGATATACTTCCACAAGGGAAAATTGATTTTGGCCCGGGAGAGCCAGTACCACCTGGTATAGACTTACCTCCTCAACTAGACACAGATACACACTGTCAAACCAAGGATTCTCAGAAGTTGGTAAAAGTTCATCTTACAGATTCTGATAATCAAGACAAGGGGAGCCAAGAGCTCCTCCAACCTGATAACTGTGGAGAAAGTGAGATAGAGACAAATACTGAAACAAAAGGAAAGGTGGAAATTGAAGAGGGAGTAGGTGCCAGCATTGTGCTCCATACCCACAGCTTAGCAGATTCAGATTTAAATAGCAAGAACAGATGGGAAGGAGAAGTAAAACAGCCCAAATTCAGTAACAAAGAAGCAGAACAACCTAAGAAATTGGTGACAGGATATGAAACCCCAAGTAAAGTAGTAATTGAATTGAGTAGTGCACAGGCATTCTCCTCTACAAAGGCAAAAATAGATACATTTTCATCAGAAACAATATCCTTATTCCATAATCCACAAGATACACCTAGAATTTCTGCCCCAGTATTGCTGCTTGAGTCCCCAGCCAGATCAGATATATGTTTAACAGGTAGTCCCCAGAAGAAAGGAGTTAACATTGACAGTCAAGAGTGGCTTGAAAATTCAGCTTCCAGGACTTCTAGGTATAGAACCTTCAAATTCAAGAAAGAAAGATCAAAAGATTTTCAAGGTAAAATGATCTACAAGCCTTCTGTTTGGAACAAGAACAAGAGGCCAGAGAAACCAGAAGTGGAAGTTGTAGAGCCACAAGATATCTGTCCAGAACAGACAGTGACAATAGAAACTGAGGCTAAGGAGCTTGCTGCCCGGAGTAATCTGGGAAGTATGCATGTTGACTTGTGCAGTACTCAGGTAGCACATGGATCCCCAAGTACCCTTTCTCAGAAAGCATATGAAGAAAATTCTGTATCACCTATAAGATATGATCCCTCTATCCCCAATGACTTTGAACCAATTTCCTCATTGTCTGGGTTTCCTTTAGATTCTCCCAAACCCCTGGTGCTTAACTTTGAAACGGAGGGTGAACACAACTCATCTAATCCCTCAAATGGGAGGATCACTTCTAACTATTTGAAAACTGGGCTTTCTGTAGAAAATTTTGACTGTGGCTTGGGGGGCTTAGAAGGAACACACCAGGCCCTTGACCTTTTGACAGGGGGAATGTTGCCTGAGGAAGTTGAAGAAGCTTCACAATTAAAGAAGCAAGATTCACTCACATCCAAAACAGTTAATCCTACAGGCTTTGGGCCATCTTCTTGCCTTCCAGACCTTGTTGACTTTGTCACACGGACATCGGGAGTTCCAAAAGAGAAACTATGTTCTTCTCTCGCTGAGCCAGGTGACCCTCTAAAGTGTAGTTCCCTGGAGATGGGACCTCTGCAGCTAGAAATTTTGGATGCGTCCATCCCAGAAGTAGCAGTTGATCAAGCAGATGAGGACAGTGATAATGCTTTGAATTTGGTAAAAACTCCAACTTCAGGATCCCTTTCGAAGGAACAGATAGTTGGAGGCAATACAGTCCCTCAATTAACTGAACAAGAAGCTGCCATTGATGCCACCAAGGACCACACACAATCCAGTGTTCATATATAATAAATAATACCCAGGGCTACTTGTGGATCAATCAAATTAGCTTCTAGAAACCAGATACCTAGATGATCCAGGACAAGTTAGCAATTTTACCTGGAACCTATACCCAGAAATACACTCAGCAGCTTAACCGTAACATTTGCGGAACTTAAGAAAATTTACCTCTTCAAACAAAACTTACTTTAAAATATCAAAAAAATCGTAACTTCTATATATGTATCTGTTAAAAATATTCTGTTACCTTTTTCTTAATTTTTCCTACTTTGTCATTAAAGTCAAATGTCGATCTGGCTCACCACATAGTGTGCTTTGGTTGTATTTTGGCCTTGACTCGCTGCAGTTTCTGGATGTTGGGGAGGAGGGAGACAGCTGACTTCTCATCTGCTGTGTTATATTCCTATCCAACTTCCTGGGCAGCTGACAGCACCTCTGGGAGAAAACCAGGAGGCTTGCTGAAAAAGGAAGAGTTGTCCTTTTAGGTTTTCATTTGGATGGGCCTGCCTTAATTGTTTGAAATGTCACGTGAGTAGCCTTTTTATTTAATGATGTCTACTTCCCTTATTGGCATGTCAACTCCCATATGTCTTTTATTCTCTTGCCTTTGCTTGAAGTGATCCTGTTTGGAAATGGCCTCAAACATAGAAGAATATCTGACAGGCTCTTTTTTGTTTTGTTTTTGAGGTCACTTGTATTTTTGGAATGGCCTTTGCTCATTGTATTGTGAACTAGTAACAATTTGCATTTAATTGTTTAGCAGCTATTTCTGTTCAGAAATAGAAGATAAGAACCTGATCTTGTAATTGGAGTCATTCTATGTTCCATAAACCTATATGTATCCCATCTTCTACCTCTCCCTTTACCATTATTTACACCATAGTGTGATGTTTGGGTTGTATATTTTGTTAAAAAGATTAAAGAATTTATGACTTGACTTGGACAAGCTTAACTTTATTTTTAATGTGTTACTTTCGTGGAATAAATGTATTGATCTCAAGTTTCAGAATTTATTTTTTATTTTTATTTTTTTTTGTCGGTCGTGGGGCCTGAACTCTGGGCCTGGGCGCTGTCCCTCAGCTCTTCAGCTGTAGACTAGCGCTCTACCACTTGAGCCTCAGCCCCACTTCTGGCTTTCTCTGCTTATGTGGTGCTGAGGAATCGAACCCAGGGCCTCATGCATGCAAGGCAAGCACTCTACCACTGAGCTACCTTCCCAGCCCGATGTTTCAGAACTTTTGTTTTGAAAGTACTGCAGTTTGAACTCAGGACTTTGTGCTTGCTAGGCAAGGACACCACACACATTTGAACTTCAAAGGATAACTAGAATAGTGAACACCTGTTACCTTACTGTTACTACTCCCCAATCATTCTTTCCCCCAGTTACTTCTTTCTTGCTGCCAGAATATATAGTTATACACAATGCATGTATGTGTGTATTTATAAGTCATATCCATGCCCCAGTGCTGTCCCAAATTGGTAGTAGTAATGTCTTCCTCTTGTGAAGTTTATCCTCTCTCTTCTCCTCTCTCAGTATCTGCTGCTTTTGCTAATTGGCTAGCACTTTACCAACTGAGCCACTCCTCCAACCCCATCTTGTGCTTTCTCTCTCTAGGCTCTTTTGGGACCTGAAGGACAATCAGGAATTCTTATTGGGATTTCCTCAGTAATAAGAACAAATTGTCAGCCTGGTGTTGGTGGCTCATGCCTATAATCCTAGCTACTCAGGAGGCTGAGATCTGAGGATCACAGTTCAAAGCCAGCCTGGGCAGGAAAGTCCGTGAGACTCTTATCTTCCAGAAAACTGGAAGTGGCACTGTAGCTCAAGCAGTAGAGCACTCGCTTTGAACAGGGACAGCGCCCAAGCCCAGAGTTCAAGCCCCACAACCAAAAAAAAACAAAAAAAAAAACAGGCACTGGTGGCTCACGCCCGTGATCCTAACTACTCAGGATGTTGAGATGTTCTTAAGAATCATGGTTCAAAGCCAGTCTGTGCAGGAAAGTACATGAGACTGATTGCCAGTTAATTAGTACCAAGCCAGAAAAGGAACTATGGCTCAAAACGGTAAGAGCACTAGCCTTGAGCACAAAAGCTCAGGGACAGAGTTCAGGCCCTGAGTTTAAGCCCCAGGACCAGCACACACACAATCATCAGTAGTTATGTTTGAATGTGAGCAAATACTTAATTTTATCTAAGTTGCATAAATAACTCCTTAAAAATGTCACTTGGCTTTATGAACAGAGGTTCCTGCCTTATAGCATATTCAGAGGGCATGTGATTACCTTTAGTTATCTTTCTACTAATATTGCTACTATAGCTAAATCTTCCCACATTATGTCATTTTTCTGAAAAGTCAAAAAAGTCAAAACAATCAGTTAAAGCCAGGTGCCAGTGGCTTGTGCCTGTAATCCTAGCTATTCAGGAGGCTGAGATTTGAGAATCATTGTTCATAGCCAGCCCAGGCAGAAATGTCCATGAGATTCTTTCTCCAGTTAATCACCAGAAAGCCACAAGTGGTGCTGGCTCAGACTGGTAGAACACTAGCCTTGAATGAAAAGTTCAAAGACAGCCCTAAGGCCCTGAGTTCAAGCCCCACAACTGACCAAAGACAAACCAATCAGTTAATGTTTTGATAGCAGGCCATGCTAGAATACATGTATGTCTGTAACACTGACAAGTTCGGGGACGGGAAGAATGGGGAATGAGATGGGAAGTGGCCATCTATCACTAGGCACATTATGTATGTATTTTAAGTGGAGAAGAGTTCGGAGAGGAGATAACCTCTGACAAAACTAAGATAGTTCATGTTTTGTTAATACTTATTTTTTGTGCTGGTACTAGGGCTTGAACTCGGCCTGCTCACTGTCCCTCATTTGCTCATTTGCTCTACCACTTTAGCTACAGCTTCACTTTTGGCTTTTTGGTGGTTAATTGAAGAGTCTCATGGACTTTCCTGCCCCAGCTGGCTTCAAATGGCAGTCCTCATATCTCAGCCTCCTGAGTAGCTAGCATTATAGGCATGAACCACTGGCACTTGGCTGTTTTTAATATACTTCTAAGCACTGGTTCTCCTTGCCTCCACAAAGCTTACCTACCAAGTACAGAAGGTGAACCTAAACAAAGACTCCATTTATTAATAATGTTTTCTTTATAGTTTAATTTTTCAATTGTTTATATAATTATACACAGAGAGATAGAATTCATTAATAAGTCAATTAACTTAAAATGAAAAATCTTTAAATATCACCACTGATTTGCCCTCAGTTCACATACACTCAGAGAAAACATTAATAAACATGTATGATTGTTATAGTACTTAACATGGTTGTAATCTTATGTTTCCCTAACTGCATCATAAATTCTTCAGAGGAAGTCATCTTTGTTTATTATGTTTTTAACCATTGTATTCACAGCATGTAGGTACCTGACACAGGATACTCAATAAAAAAAATTATTGAATCAAGGTGGTGATAGTAGCTGTTTTTATTCTGATAATACTTAGCAATTTATAAGTAGGTTAAAAATTAAATTGTTGATTGTGTTTACTGAGTACTCAGCACTCTAAAAGCAACTGTTCTCTTCTGTTCTAGGTCTTTATGCATAGAACACTGTAGTTGTGTTCTTCAAGGTGCCAGTGGTTCCCTCATTTCAATGGCATTCTTAAGTATGATGCCAGCTTAGGAGGCAGACACTACCTCTGCAGCCCCTACAAGGGACACCAGGTGTGGGAAGGTGGTGAACTTACCCTAGCGTTAATTAAAAAAAAGGGGGGGGGGAGATTTGAGGGCTTTGATTTTTTGATGACTGCATTTTTTCCCTCCAGGCAGATAAGCATGTTGAAGTCAGATAGTCAAACCCAGAATCTCTTGAGTTGGCTGAAGTGGTTAACATTTTCTGGCCCATCTAACATCTTGTCATCTTATCAAAATTAATTTCATTTCTATATAGAAACAAAAATTAACTGAGTTTATTTTGTAAGAGAAAAAAAAGGATGTTCTTTTTTCCATTTTCTGTTGCGTTTTAGTCTTCTGACAGGGAAGATGCATTTTACATAAAATTATCCACACATGTAAATAGTACATATGCATACATATGTAAAAGTATACATCAGTAAGTGTTATCTGGTGCTACAGAACTATAGGATGGGTTTTGGGGACTTTCTGTATATTGCATGGTAATATTTTTTTCTTAAAGCTGTATCTCTATTTAGTGCATGCCTGTCTTCACTCCTCACATCTGTATTCCATCCTTACAAAAAAGGTCTCTATTCCCATCTATGCAGGGGCAGCATTACTTTGTCAAGGAATCCCCAGCCATTCTGCCTTTCTCTATCTCTTCTTCTCTTGACCTTACCTCTGTTGAGCTGATTGTGACTATCTACTGATATTGTACAACTAGGCATTAAATGATTTCAATAAGGTACTAGTCTTTATCACAAAGTCTTAGTGGGATGCAATAGGATGGAAGAAAGAGCCTGTTTAAATAGAACCATTTAAATAAAGCCTTACAGGTTTCTGTCTCAAGCATAGGAAACAAGGCAAGAAATAAAAAAAGTTTTGTAGAAAATACGGGAAATTAGTATGTTTAAGAGAAGTGAAAGCTGAGCACCAGTGGGCTTACACCTGTAATCCTAGCCACTCAGGATGTTGAGCTCTGAGCATTGCAGTTGGAAGCCAGCCCGGGCAGAAAAGTCCATGAAACTCTTATCTCTAATAAGCTTTTTCCAGAAAAAGCTGGAAGTGGTGTTGTGGCTCAAGTGGTAGAGCACTAGCCTTGAGTAAAAGAAACCCAGGGACAGTGCCCAGGCCTTGAGTTCAAACCCCAGGACTGCAAAAAAAAAAAAAAAAAAAGTGAATGTTCAGGATAAAAATAGAAACTTAAAATGGGAGAATAAAAGAAGTGAAGAAAGCAACCAGAGAAAACCTACCATATTTATGCATTATTTAATTTCATCTTCATTCATAGTCTCTTAAGGTTCTATCCATTCTTCTTACAGAATCACACATGCTTAACTATGTAAGAATAATTATGACCACATTGTTATTAACTGTCATCCCTTTATCTTCCTTTCTTCTCAGGGACAATTCCAGAATTCTTCAGATTTCCAAAGGAAGATCTGCAGTAAACATTTCTGCTCCAGGGAGGCAGGGCTAGAAGCCACTGAGACCCTGAAAATGATGAGCATCCTTGTGGCCAGTAGGCCATCACCTCTAGGATCTGACTTAGAGAAGGTGGGTATGGCTGCTTGGGGGCAAACCTGGGTTGTGAAGAAGGCCAGACATTTTAGCTGCCAAAAAATGAGTGAGCTAATGAATGAACTCATTGTATATATGTATATATGTGCATAAGTATATATGTATCTACCAGTAGAGGAGGAACAAGATGAGAATGAACAGAGTATATATTTTAGACTTCCATTCCACACTTCACTTAACATTGAATAAATAAACTTCCATTTCTCATTTGTGCTCTGATACTTTCAAAGCTGAAAACTTTGTTTCCCCATTCTTTTTAGACTCTAGGCTCCAATATCCCTAGCAACTAGACCATCTACCTTGGTTTGAGGCTATTTTAATGCCCCATGAAATAATTAAAGAACAGAGCTGGGAATATGGCTTAGTGGTAGAGTGCTTGCCTAGCATACATAAAGCCTGGGGTTCACTTCCTCAGTACTACATATACAGGAAAAAGCCAGAAGTGGTGCTGTGGTTCAAGTGATAGAGTGCTAGCCTTAAGCAAAAGAAGCTCAATGACAGTGCCCAGGCCCTGAGTTCAATCCCCAGGACTGGGGGGAAAAAAATCAAAGAACAACTGGTATGTCCTTAGAGGAGAGGGATACAAGGAAGATAAAGGACGGTCAAGGAAGGAGGAACAATCACAAAGAAAATGTTTGAAAAATCCTGGGAAATCAGACTTTAGGATACAGGAGCAGGTAAATACCATTCCTTACTCTCTGGGTTTTTTTTGGGGGGAGGGGTCAAGCGCTAGCCTTGAGCTGAAGGGCTGAGGGACAGCGCCCAGGCCCAGAGTTCAGGTCCCGTGACTGACAATAATAATAATAATAACAATAATAATAAACCATACAATGTATAGCTAAAGCCATCAGTAGATGGCTTTCAAGTAAAGAGTAAGAAGTATCTCCAGGCCTTCTGTTACTACTCATACCTAAGCATTATCCTGTGGATGAAGCAATGGAAAGCAACTGGTGCCAGTGCTGCCAACACTTTGTCACCACCACTTTCTCTCCAGCCCAAGATCTGTTTCTCATCAGCTCTCACAATCTTCCCAGGTACAATCAGGGTGTTAGTCACAAGCTTTCCTTTCTAACTGATACACAGTCATGGTCCAACCTCTGTTTTGCTGCTTAGAACTTAGTTATCGAGTTGTATCTGAAGTCCATGTGTAAGTCAGAATGTTTTTCCCTTTGTATGTCTTCTATTTGATATACTAGAGTTTGTCTATCTCCAATATCTTTTTTTGGGGTGTGCAGTCCAGGGCTTTGAACTTTTGTTTGGCTTTCTTGAGCCACAGCCAGTTCTCTACCACTTAAGCCATACAACCAGTCTGTTGTATATGTTAAGAATGAAGAAACATTTAAGATCTATTTTTATTAAAATATAATGTTAAAATTTATTTTTTAAGGGGCTGGGGAGATGGCTCAGTGGTAGAGCGCTTGCCCTGCATGCCTGAGGCCCTGGGTTCGATTCCCCAGCACCACATAAGCAAATAGAAAAAAGCCAGAAGTGGCGCTGTGGCTCAAGTGGTAGAGTGCTAGCCTTGAGCTGAAGAGCTGAGGGATAGGGCCCAGGCCCAGAGTTCAGGCCCCATGACCGGACCCAAAAAAAAACAAAAACAAAAAATACAATTTTTTTTGTCAGTTGTGTGGCTTGAACTCAGGGCCTGGGTGGGCACTGTCCCTGAACTTTTTCACTCAAGGCTAGAGCTCTACTACTTCATACCACAGTGCCATTTCTGGTTTTCTGGTGGTTAATTAGAGATAACAGTCTCATGAACTTTCCCACCTGGGCTGACTTTGAACGGTGATTCTCAGATCTCAGCCTCCTGAGCAGCTAGGATTATAGACATGAACTACCAGCACCTGGTTCTGTTTAGCTTTCTCAGGAACTGCCTGTTTTCCAAAGCAATGCTCTACTTTACCACCGACGATGTATGAGGGATCCAGCTTTGTCATATCCTTGCCAACACTTGGAACTTTTTTTAAAATTTCAATGCCAGTCCTGAGACATCAGAGCCTGGATGCTGTTCCCTGAGTTTTAGTGCTTAAGGTTGATACTCTGCCCCTTGAGCTATAGCTCTACTTACAGCTTTTTAAAATTTGAGTTAAGAGTCTCACTAGGAAGTGGCGCTGTGGCTCAAGTGGTAAAGAGCTAGCCTTGAGCTGAAGAGTCTCACCAGGACTTTCCTGCCTGGGCTGGCTTTGAACCTCAATACTCAGATCTCAGCCTTCTGAGTGGCTAGGATTATAGGCATGAGCCACTAGTTACAGGTTTTTGCTATCTTTTAAATGACAACCATCCTAGTATGTTTAAATAGTACCATATTTTGGTCCTGATTTGCATTTTCCTAGTGACTGATGATGTGAAACATCTTTTAAGGTGTTTGAAGAACATTTGTGTATTTTCTTTGAAAGAACATTTATTCACACTGTGCATTTCTAATTATATTGTCCTTTTATTATAACAAAGTAAGTCAGTTGTTACTTGACCCTTACCAGATAGATGATTTGCTAATATTTTCTTACATTCTGTGAGTAAATTTCTTTTAAGTGTGCTTTGAAGTACTGCTGGGCTATTTTTAACATATTTAAAAATCTTAAACTAAATTATAAATACATGATAGGCCTTTAAATTATACTTTTTTTTTGTATGTGCACTAGAACTTGAACTCTGGGCCTTATACTCATCTTTTTCAATCAAGGCTGGTGCTCAAATACTTGAGCCACACCTCCAGTTCTGGCTGGTTAATTGGTAATAAGAGTCTTACAGATTTGTCTGCCCAGACTGGCTTTGAACCTTAATCCTCAAATCTTAGCCTCTTGAGTAGCTAAGGATTAACAAGCCTGAGCCACCAGTACCCAGCTAAGTAATCCCTAATATTTTTTGGTGATACTAGGGTTGAGCTGAAGACCTCAGCCTTGCTAGGCCAGGTACTCTACCACTTGAGCCCCACCTCCAACCCCAAATTATACTTTTAAATATAATAAGAAATACAATTTTATGAGCAAGCTATTTATTGTATGCAGAATGTTTTGAGGCTTCCAAACAAGGAGTTTTGAATTCATGAAGAAACTCATCATTTAAAAGTGACAGTTATAGCTGGGCGCTGGTGGCTCACGCCTGTAATCCTAGCTACTCAGGAGATCTGAGAGGATCTGAGATCTGAGGATCACGGTTCAAAGCCAGCCCGGGCAGGAAAGACCATGAGACTCCTATCTCCAATAAACCACCAGAAAACCGGAAGTGGCGCTGTAGCTCAAGTGGTAGAGCGCTCTCCTTGAGCTGAAGAGCTGAGGGACAGCGCCCAGGCCCAGAGTTATTAGTTATATAGCACTTTAAGTGCTAGGTGCTGTATAACTCATTTAATTCCTTACCAACTCTGTGAGATAGTTTTGTGCTGCTACTCATTGTACAGAAAAGAAAGTTCACAGGCTGTGAAGGTGGCTCAGTGGTAGAGTGCTTTCCTTGCATGCATGAGGCCCTGGGTTCGATTCCTCAGCACCACATAAGCAGAAAAAGCCAGAAGTAGCACTGGCTCAGGTGGTAGAGCGCTAACCTTGAGCTGAAAAGAGGGACAGCACCCAGGCCCAGAGTTCAGGCCCCATGACTTGAAAAAAAAAATTCAGGAAATGGAAACAAGAGGTTTTTCCTTTTTGTTTTCTTTGTCTTGTTTGATCGTTTGCCTGTCTTATGGAGGGCAAGGGGGAACACAGAAATAAGGGGACAAAGGGTGAACAAATGCAGCAATGGTACTCATTAGACACTATGTTGAAAATGAACTATATGACTTGTAGGTGGGGATGGGAAGAAAAACGGGGAGAGCGAGGGAAGGGGTGACATTGTCATAAAAGAAACATACCCTTTACCCAACTTATGTAACTGTACATCACCTTTATAGTAACAATAAAAAAATATTTACAAAATAATTTTTTAAAGTTTGCCTGCAAGCTGAGTGAATACCAAAGACAGACTTCGCATTTCACCTGACAGACTGACCGGGCTGAATTAACCAGCGTGAAGAGCTACCTTTTGGCTTGGAGGGTGAGGAGAATGTTTTCCTGGCATCTGTACTGTGGACATTTTCCTCTCTTCACCAACCCAGAAACTAGAGCCCCTACCCCCCACATCCCGTCATTTTCACTGTGCCTCTGTGCTCCCAGCCCCAAGCCCCTCATCTTTTATGTGCTTCGAAGTAACTGAGAAATTGTTTTCCAGGTGGAATGGTTCGAAATTTCTGTGCCCAATGAGTGCTCATAACCCAGTGGGCTCAAAGCGAGCAGTGGGCGGAGCCGCCGAGGGGCGGAAGGATCCCAGCGGCCAGGTCTGCGAGTGAGCAAGCGGACCTAGTGGAGCCATGAGCTGGACCTGCCCGCGTTGCCAGCAACCTGTTTACTTTGGTGAGGTCTGGCCTGAGGAGGGGGAAAAATGGGGGCAAGTTTGAGCTGCTTGGGTTCCCCGGGAATGGCGACGGTGTGGCCCAGACAGCTTTTTCTACCTGTAGCAATGCTTGCGTGTGTGTGATTCCCCTGCTCTCTGCCAGCGAGCCCCATGGGGCACAGGGCACCGGGGTTGGATGGAGCCGGACTCCCTGCAGGCATTATGTCTGTCTCCAGGGAGCAGCGCTGGTGGGCTCTTCCTCCTGGGGACTGAAGGGGTAAAAGGAGGCTGTCTGGTGCAATTTTGGCTGTATGGAGCTATGTTCTACCTTGTTCCTCACAGCTGAGAAAGTGAGCTCCATGGGCAAGAACTGGCACCGCTTCTGCCTGAAATGTGAACGCTGCCACAGCGTCTTGTCCCCTGGTGGACATGCAGAGGTGAGGCCTGCCCAGGATATACAGCCTTATCTCTTCTCCCAACTGGCCCCCAACTTCAGCTTGGAAGCCAGCCAAGGGCAGCCTCACCAGCTAAGTTCAGGGTCACCCACCCAATGGGCCTCACACCAACCAAGCTTTGTGCCATGACGCCACAGCTTGGGGGTGGGTACACACAGTCACCTCCCCTTCCACCCCTACCTGTTTTTGCTCTGTCCCTGCACTTCAGTGGCCATTCTGGCATGCCAGCCTATCACCCACCCTTTCTAGTCCTTCTAGAACGGGCCAGTGGACACATACCTGGCAGCTTAGCTTGGGGAAGGCCTGTGAGGCAGGGCCTCCTAGCTCTGAGTGACCCCCTTGCCTCTGGTTGTGCTTGTGCCCAGCACAATGGGAGGCCATATTGCCACAAGCCGTGCTATGGAGCTCTCTTTGGACCCAGAGGTAAGTACTAGCCTAGAAGGCCAGGGGCCACAGAACCCTGCCTGTGGCTGGGAACTAGGGCTTCAGACCTGACACTCCTTCCCCAACTGGGTGATTCTCTGCAGGAGTGAACATTGGTGGTGTGGGCTGCTACATCTATAACCTCCCCACTCCTCCTGCCAACAGCACTCCCCTCAGCCCTAGTGATTTCAGCCCCCCAAGGCCACGGACAGGCCTCCCCCAAGGCAAGAAAAGTAAGTAAAGCTCCTCCTCCCACCCTTCCAGATGCAGCTAAGCTGGGTCTCAGTCTTTTACCAGCCCTCTGCTCCAAAGTGCTACAACTTAGTGCTTAATAAAGTCCATGGGCCCTTTTTTGATGCTCCCTCAGATCTGCTGCTGAGAAGTTAACTGGATAGATGGCATTATTACCTTCATTTTATATGAAGGCAACTGTGGTCCAGAGAGGACAAGAGACCTTGTATATCACACAGGTGATTATACAGGTTTTTGCCTCTGAGGCAAAGCTACCCTGGAACTTAGGTCTCTTCCGGAGGCAGGCCCACACCATGGAAGGAAAGATGTATGAGTGAGGGGTTATTAGGATCCAGGCCCTCAAAATCTTCATCTTCTCTAGTCCATGTTCTTCCTACCCCCTGGAGTAGGCAAGGATAACCTGACACCTCTGCCCTGGCCAGCTCCTCTATCAGCTAAGGTTTCCTGAAGATTGAGTTGCTAACAGGGTTGGATTGTGGTGCACCTGAGCCCCTGGGGTGGGGGTGGGGGGGAGGGAGGCAGATAACAAGGAAATCATCCCTATTACATAAAGGAACGGGGCAAGAAGCAGGGCCCAAGGGGCCTTGCTCTGGTCTCTAGGAAGGCAGATTCATGGCTGTCCAGGAAGTGGGAGGAGAAACAGGATGGATTTTGGAGGGGAACAGTGCCTCGTACAGATAGGCCCTGTACCTCACCATAGCCAAAGCCAGGGCCTCTTCCCCATAAAGGCCCTCCCCACATGAAGACATTCACTGGGGAGACTTCCCTGTGCCCCGGCTGTGAGAAACCCGTCTATTTTGGTAAGTGACAATGGGATGTTTGTGAAGGGAAACACCGGGTGGTGACACGGAGATCTCAGGCAGGTGGGCCATTCTGCCCTGCCGTGCCCTGCCTTGCTCTGCCCTAAGATGGAGAACTACCACCTCTCTCCACCACCAGCTGAGAAGGTGATGTCTTTGGGCAGAAATTGGCACCGACCCTGCCTGAGGTGCCAGCGTTGCCAGAAGACCCTGACTGCTGGAAGACATGCCGAAGTGAGCAGGGTAGGGAGGGGCTAGGCTGAGGGAGGAAGATTAGACATGGAAAGAACAGGAGGCTGAGATGACTTTTTCTCTTATGTTCCAGCATGATGGCATCCCCTACTGCCACATCCCCTGCTACGGCTATCTGTTTGGCCCCAAAGGTGGGTGGCCCCACCCCAGACCTCAGGCCCAAGGTATAGCATGTCCATGATCTTGTACGGATGTGTGCTCAACTTCCCTTATGGTCAAACACACTCTAGGTCACTCCCATCTCCCCTGCTGCCCCCTCTCCCCCCCTCCCCACACTCAGCCCAATACTCCCAATTTCTATTACCCTTGGTAATAAGGCTTTCTCTCTCAGGTGTGAACATTGGTGATGTGGGCTGCTACATTTATGAATGAAGATAAGATCCAAATGAGCTACTCACAGCAGAAGTCATCCTACCTAAGGCTTCTCACCATCCCCTTCCTGGCCCAATGGGGGCTACACAATTTGCTATTTTCTTGGGGTGAGGGAAGACAAGATCCTGGGGGCTGAGCCTAGGTTTCACAGTAGATCTCTTTCTTTTTCCTATTTGGCTAGAGGACTTATGCCACCTTAATTTAAATGGTAGCCTACTGACCTTCCCAATTCCTTTCTGGGCAAATTCTGGAGCTTCAAGCTATATCATCAAACTTGCTTATTGAGCCTCAGTGTCTCCAGCTTCTCTAATAAAATATTGGCTTCTATGCCTTCAGCATTTTTTTGGGTGAGAGGTCTAAACAGCAGATTGTGTCCGAGGGGTCCTGAGAGTGCCTCAAGATAGCAGCATAAAAAGAGGTAAGAGTAGGGGCTGGGAAGGTGGCTCAGTGGTAGAGTGCTTGCCTTGCAAGCATGAGACCCTGGGTTCGATTCCTCAGTACCACATAAGCAGAAAAAGCCAGAAGTAGCGCTGTGGCTTAAGTGGTAGAGTGCTAGCCTTGAGCTGAAGAGCTGAGGGACAGCGCCCAGGCCCAGAGTTCAGGCCCCGTGACCGACAAAAAAAAAAAAAGCAGCATTAAGTCATGGCACACAAAGCTCTGTTCTCCTGGTCCCCTGACCCTCTTCTGGGTAGCCCCTAACACCACTGGACAGTATACCTGCTAGCCTCACTGGTACCAGTAGTCATCATAGGACAGGCCCTTCTTTAGCACCATCTCTAGAATAAGTACCTTATTTGGTTTGAGTATGACTATGTGTTCTGTGGGAAGCTCTGCTAAGAGGCTGTTTCATCCATTGGAGAAATGAACAGAGTAAAGCCTAGAGAAGAAAAGTCACATACCCAAGATCACAAAGACAATCAGTGGCAAGGCCGGTCCAATGGCTTCTCATCCAAGGCTCTTTCCAAATCTCATTGCTGCCTCAACCCAAGAAGTATCTTTATTTATAGAAAAGAGTCACAGAATCCCCCAGCCAAGAGAAGGATGCCCAGAATCTCTAGCAGCCCACTGCATTCTGGGAGGTTGTCCTGCTACTTGAGGCCAAACAGTCAAGGCTGATGAACACAGGCAGAGGACACAGCAACCTTCAGCCCTAGGCAGGTTCTGTGGTCCACCCCCAGTCACAAGAGCCTGCCTCTGCTCTCTCAGTGCTGCTTCAGAGCTTCTCTGAGTGCCTCTCCTCAGTTCCATTCAGTCTACACTGCATCTCTTCCTCCTGATGGCTGGAGAAGGGGTTGGGAGAAATGTGGGGTTTAATCTTGGAGTCTGCTGCCCCTTTAGGTTTGGCCCAAGGCTCTTCCTAGCTCATGGAATAAAAACAGATGCTTGTGAACATCCCTGATGAGCAGGCATAGCTGAGTGTGCACACCTGAGCCTCTTCTTGATCATCCTTAGGTATTTATGTGCATGCACATATATGAACTTGTATATTTTTCTGCAAACAGCACATCCCAGGATATCACCTGAAATACACACTCATGTACATGTGCCAAGTACATTTGTGCAGTTATGTTTTCCCTTCTGCATCGTCAGGTGTGAGGGATCTGAACCGCCCACCCCCCCCACACACACACCTCATTTTCTCCACATCCTGGATGGTCTCTGGCAGTTGGGCCTTCCTTGTCTCTGGCAGCAGGAGGGCAATGCAGCCAGCCAGCAGGGCAATGCCCCCGTAAACCAGCTTGGGCAGCAACAACCACACTCCATCCAGCAACGCCGCTAGTGGGGCCAAAGAGCCCCCCAGCCTGCCCACCAGCGAGGCCAGGCCCAGCCCCGTCTGTCTGTTCAGAAGAGAGGGTGAGAGAGGCTTTGGGTTTGGGGGTCACGCCTCAAAAGCTCCCTCCCTGGGCTGGCGGGTCTTGGGATCCCCTTCCAAAAGGCCTGCGCGGAGCCAGCGCCGCCAGAGGATGGGGTCCTATTCTGCCAACATGCCAGTCAGGCACAGCTAAAAGAAAAGTTCCAGGCAGGTTGAGAAAGAGGCGGGCAGCCCGCGGGGGCCCAGGCGCAGGCCGGCGGGGAGGGCCGGCCTTCCCGCCGTGAACGCGAGTGCGCGGTGGGCAGCCCGGCGCGCCTCGGGACGAGGCCACACCCCAGCGCAGCACGCCCCGCCCCCAGGCCGCCTCTATTCCGGGAGGTGTCTGACAAGCTCCGCCCAGGTCCCCTGGGCCTCGGTCGGCTCACCTGAGCACGGTGGGGTACAGCTCCGACGTGAAGAAGTAGGCGGTGGTGAAGGCCGCCTCAGAAAACATTTTTCCCACAACCGCCAGGGCGGTGGTCCAGGCCCTGGTCCCTGTGGAAGGGGTTCCAGCAGTGAGGAGGGGGCACCTCGGGGCGGGAGGGGGCGGAGTCGGGGCGGACCTGGGGGCGGGGCTAGGGACCGGATCTGGGAGGACAGGGGCCGGGACTGGGGCGGGGTCTGGGCGGGCTGGAGGCGGAGTCTTGCGTGCAGGGGCGGGTATGGGGCGGAGCTTGGGGCGGGGTCTGGGCCGGCAGGGGGCGGGGCGCGGTCAGCTCACCTGAGGGCACCAGCAGTCTGACCCCGTAGGTCAAGGCCGCGCCCAGCAACATCCCGGACAGCGTGAGGCGACGCCCTGCGCGGCGAACGCACAGGTAGACCAGGAGCTTGGAGGGCAGCTCCACCGCCCCGAAGAGCAGCTGCGTCTGGTACACGTCCAGCCCCAGCCCCGACAGGTCCAGAGTCAGGCCGTAATAGGAGACGTTCACTCCGAACCTGGGCGGGTCACCGCGCCACTCAGGGCCCTGCTGCCGCCTCTGTCCTTTCCCGGGGGCTTGGTCTTGTCTAGGACGACCCCAGGTGACCCGCCTGCCCACCGCCCAGCTCACCCCCCCCCCACGCCGCGCCTACCACACCACCACGCAGCACAGCGAGATGTGTCGGAGCCGTGGCGTTCGGAACAGGTCCAGGTAGGAGGGTCTCTGGACCACACGTTCCCCTTCGGCCACTTTGTTCAGGGCCTGGTGGAGGAAGAGGCGAGATGGTGACACCAGTCTCTGTATCTGTTTCTGAGTCTGTCTGTCTTTCTCTCTCCCTCCCTTCTCTCCCTCCCCCTCTCCTTCTCTCTCCTCTATCCTTCTCTCTCCCTCACTTTTTCTCTCTCTCCCTCCCTCTCTCTGGGTTTCTTTTCCTTCTCTCAGCCAGGTGGATGGAGGTGCTTGTGGGAGCCAAGAAGGTGTCCCGAGAAGCAGGACCCTCAGGAAGGTCATTCTGCAGGGCTAGGAAAAGCCACACCTGGCACCCCCAGGAGGCATTTGGCACGGTCCCTTCCCCCCTACCCACTCTCAGGCATGCACACATGCATTCACCCTCACCTCCTGGCTCAGTTCCTCCTCACCCACTGATTGGCCATTGAGCCTGGCACAGCAGAGCAAGTACCCTCTGGCCTCCTCCACACGGCCCTGGGTCAGAAGCCAGCGTGCAGACTCAGGTACCCACCTAGGAGAGGCAGGACACCCTTCAGCCAGAAAGTCAGCACCATGAGCCTACCCTCTCCTGGCACATCCAGGCGGTCAACCTCTAGGCTCTTGCTCATGCAGTTCCCACCAATGAACTCTTAGAAGTCTTTTAATGCCTAATTAATTTAATGAGGTTTTGTGTGTGTGTGTGTGTGTGTGTGTGTGTGTGTGTGTGTTATGCTTACCAGTCAGGTGCCCTACTGTTTGAATCACACACTTTTTTGCTTTATTTTCAGATAGGGTCTTACATCTTTTGTCCCAGGTTAGTCTCAAATCACAACCCTCAGCCTCTTATGGCTTCCTGTGTATCTGAGATGATAGGTATGATCACCACACCTAGTTTATTGATTGAGGTTGGGTCTCACTAACCTTTTTTCTTTTTTTTTTTGGTCACTCATGGGGCCTGAACTCTGGGCCTGGGCATTGTCCGTGAGCTCTTCAGCTCAAGGCTAGCACTCTACCACTTGAGCCATAGCACCACTTCTGGCATTTTCTGCTTATGTGGTGCTGAGGAATCAAACCCAGGGCCTCGCGCATGCAAGGCAAGCACTCTTAACACTGGACCATCTTCCCAGCCTTTTTGTTGTTGTTGGTGGTGGTCATGGGGCTTGAACTCTGGGCCTGGGTACTGTTCCTCAGCTCTTCAGCTCAAGGCAAGTGCTCTACCACTTGAGCCACAGCACCACTTCCTGTTTTCTGGTGGTTAACTGGAGATAAGACTCTCAAGGACTTTCCTGCCCGG